GGGCCATGATAGCTGGAATCGTTGCGCATGTATCAAATACGTCATTCTGAGCGCTGGTTGTTTTAAGAGGGATTATACGTTAGCGTCCTCCGCAAGTTTCATCACGCCGCACTTCAGTGATTTCTCGAATCGCTGAAGCGATTCGAGAAATCGCTTCAGCGATTCGCTGAAAAGCGATTCGAAAAGCGATTCGGACCTAGAAAATAAGCAGACAACAAATTATCCCTGCATAATTTAAATAATCTCACTTTGTCTTGTCCTAAAAAAAAAAAAAAAAATACTGTCTACACGAATGTTTGCAATAAGAGACAGGAGCGCGTGAGCGTAACTCAGCACCATGCTAAATTTGTTTGCAGGAGGATTCGTGCTTGAGGCACTTTCTAAAGCCACGCGCTCGTGCCCATGACTTTGTCTTCACTGGAGATATTTATGAAATGCAGTATAAGTCATCTGTGAGATCTCTGGAATCCGCTGACATTTCACGCTGCCATCATTAAAAGAAAAGAAAATAAATACGGGCTCGGCTTTTAAAAAGGAGGAAAAAAAATCATGATTTCTTATCATATAAATTGATTCATTTTATTTAAATCAGATTTATTTTAACCAAATATATTTATCTTTAATTAAATCCGATTTATTTTTATTTAAGTCAAATTCATTTTATTTAAATCAGATTTATTTTTAACCAAATATATTTATCTTTAATTAAATCCGATTTATTTTTATTTAAGTCAAATTCATTTTATTTAAATCAGATACATTTTATTTAAATCACCGTAGCTATAATTATAGTCATTCATAATCACTATATTTCCTTGCAACTCAAGAAGGTGGGACGATCGCGTAGGACGGGCCGGGCAAGAGGAAGCAGACGGAACGGTGGAGAGAGGAGGAGGTTTCCCCTCTCTTCTCCAGCGTTCCGTCTGCTTCCTCCTCCCCGGACTGTCTTACCCTCGCCCTACCTCCTTGCAACTTCCAACGGACTATAGATAGATTTTCCAATTTGACAGACTGATTGATCGATCCCCCCCCGACTACCGAAAACAATGCGCAAAAGAAAATGACTGTAAATGTAAAGTACTAACAACTTTTTGTTGAGGAAACCCCACCAAAGTAGAGCAAAAATAACGTAATTTGTTAGTGACGGAACGTTATTTGCATTTCCTTTTGCGTTCTAAATTTCTTGAAATAGAACATCTTTTCTAGTTTTCGAGTTTTCTTTTTTTTTTTCGCAGTTTTATTTGCATGTAATAAGATATTACGTATTTGACGAACCGAATGGTTAGCAGAAAGAAAGCCCAATGTTCCGATTTGCTCAGATAACGACGGCTTTGTTGAGCCTGATATAAATCTATTTTGCTTCATGATTTTCCGATATAAATACAAAGCAAATTTACATAGAAAGCAACAATAAATAGACAAACGGTTAATAAAAAAATATTTATACTATTTTGTGGGAAATGTTTAATTCAAATAATCGCAGTAAAACCAGTGTGTCGAACCGAAAAAAAATACGGGTTCGGTTGCGGTTCAGGTTCAGGTAAATTTATTTTGTTCCGGTTCAGTTCCGGTTCGATTAATTCGATCCGCGAACCGGTTCGGAAATTATAAATGACAAATTGCAACATCAAAATAACAAAATCAAAATAACATCAAAATAAAAAAATAAAAAAATTGCAACATCACGTTCTAGAAACGTGTTATGAAATGAGCACACAGCAGCATTTAGGATTTACGAGATTGTAGGAAAATGAAATCCCGTGACGCGATTTTTTTTTCTTTGCACAGCCTTCCAATTTTCTTTCTTCCGTGCAAGCCGCGACCAGCGCAATATTGGTTCCTATGTCAAGATTCATGGATGCAGCGTTTGTCAGGATTCATGGATGCAGCGTTTATATTCCTAAGACTGAGTGGAGAAGAAAAATATGTATGCGAGGTGTGTGTCAGTTGACGGCACTTAAAAAACAAATGGCATTGATAGCACATTCCTTGTCAACAGCGCGTGGCCGAACCGTTTTAACATGAGCCAGTAACCGTTATTTTTTTTCCGGTTCAGTTCCGGTTCGGGTTCATCGCGATAACAATATAACGGTTCGGGTTCGGTTCCGGAAAAAATACCGGTTCGGTTCCGGTTTTCGGTTCGGTTCGGTTCCGGTTCGACACCCTGAGTAAAACCGGTCTGATTTCAATCACAATTTAAATTATGATTTGAATCACGATTTAAGTCACCTTGATTTTTATTCTCCACCCTGCTCACAAACAAAACCATTTTGCTGGACTACGCTCACGCGCCTGTGCATTTGTTTTCACTGTCAACACTAGCTTCGTTCGATCAACCTGCACCACCTGCACCGGTGCAGAAAAGTGTAAGGCGCCGTACTTCCGGTCGTATCTCTATTCACATACCGGAAGTACACTGCCCTACACTTTTTGAGCACTCCTAACTCCGGGCCGGTTTGTTGGTGAATGCCGGTATTTATCCCGGCGATTAATATGGCCGCACGAGGCATTTTAAGGTAACGTGTCCGACTGCGGTGTTGTTTACCGCCAAATATCGTCAGTCAGCATTGTGTCTCCGCCGTCCTCGATGGTGGTCCCATGATGCGTCGCCCGTCAGCGTCGCTCTGTTTACTGTCACGTTATCTCAAACAACGCACAATGGGCACGAAAGGATTCACCGTCGTCTCCCGCACGCCAAGGAGCGGAACTTTCGAATAGGCCAATCAGGTTCGTGGATTTGCCTCACGGTTTTAATCCGTGAGGAAGCTCCAAAACGCTGACCGGCGCCTTGGGGAGAAAGTACCGATCGTACCAGGCGATTTCGTCCAGTGGACGTAAAGCCTTGCCTGACGTTTTCTTTACTATACTCGATTAACACGACCTTCCTCAGAAATAACTCTGATTCATATCACTTGCATTTCGAGCCTGTACATCCTCTTCCAGCGCGCAAAATCGGGCTTGAATAATCAAAGCGAGGACGGACTTACGGCAGCCATTTGTTTTAAACGCTAAAAGTCTTTGTTCTTGTCCTCACGGAGCCGGTCACGTGAGCTCGAAATCCCTTTTTCGACTATTTTAGTCGCCGGTAGAGATGCTCGCGTTCACCAGCAAACCGTCCCAGGGGAGGCAGCTTCACCCACCCGGCTGAAGAGAGGGGAAGGAGAAAAGCGGAGAGCTACTGAATGTCTCATGCCTACTGCAGCTATCTCCACTGCCCGCCCTGGAGGTCGGAGGCAAATTCACGCCGTTGGAGGTGCGAATATTCTCCATCGCCTCGTCCTTCCGTTTCTGACGCTGCTCTCCGTTTCTAATCAAGTCCAGGGCTCTTGCCTACGAATCCAAATCAATATGTAATAACTGCAGCATCTGCGACGTTCTGCCTATAGTCCACTGCGACAATAGGAGTACAACCAGGCTCCCGCCCATAAGAATAAAAATTCCGCACACATTTTTGGGTAAGCTACGGCTCAGTGGCAGGTGGTTGAACACCATGCATCTGACGATAGCAGAGAACAGGGGTGTCTAAACTGCGGCTTGCGGCTCCCTTATAAGACTAGTCTGCAAGACCTAAAGGAAAGTTGTATACATATATATACATAGAATAAATGGCAGCTTATGTATTGACAGCCTTGTGCCACCACGCATATACTTCAGGTAATCAGGGTCAGTGACATAATGAGCAATCGCTTTACGAATGGAATTCCCTATAACCATAAAATAAAACAAAAAAAAGCTGGCACGGATTTTTTTTTTTTTATTGCGGCTATTCATTTAAAACATTACTTTTCTAACGGCTCTTGCATATGCCCATCTGGCCACCCCTGACATAAAATATATTGGAAATGACTCAATTTTCGCGAAATCCTAATTTTCACAAATTTCGCGACTCTAATAATACTTCAAAAAATAGAACCCGCGTATATGTTTCCCTGTGGTAAGAAATGCGATGCATGCCACCGTCATCGCGAAATTTCGTGCCCGCGAGACATTCCCGAAATTCACACTTTGCCGAATTCGCGAAATATTGAGCCCACAAAAATAAGGTCGTGTACATTAGACAGTTTTACTATAGCGTTGCTGGCTCTTACGTACGCAATAGTATAGCGTACGCAAAAAACGACCTGCTCGGACCGAATTTAGTTGTGCGTTACGTTTTCGAGTGAACACATCGCATGATCTTGGATAAACTTGCCAGAGCCGTAGAATTCGGCGTGCTTATAGCGGCACCATACTCCCGGAAAGAAATATTGGAAATGTAAACGTGTCCAATCATTTTATTTCAAAATAAACCAAGTCGCAGCTGCCTCGTCAAGTGCGCATTTCTGCGGGGTACAGAGGCTACCAGTACGAGTGCGTAGCTAAATTCAATTAAGAAGCCTTCGTCAGTCGTCCCGTGGAAACGGCACCTTTTATCAATGCTATCGCGGAATGAAATCTATGACCTATAGAGATCCAGTGCATAGTGAGAACTTCGGCGATTTCTTTTAGAGTCGTTCGTCCGTCAGCGATGAACAGTGCGAATAGGCTTAGTGTTGAGCAGATCGCAGGGTCGCCGAGCGGTGAACGTTTTCACTGTGCACTCCTTCAGCTGCACTGCGATTTGATTCGACCACGGTAGGTTCCAGAAAGAATTGCCGAGCTCAACACCACGCAATTTCACGTAACACAGAACTTCAAGAACACCACGTCGCCCTTGCTGCGCCAGTCGAGGTAACCGCCATCTTGAAACTGGCGCTCTCGTTGGGCCCGAGATTTCTCGAGAGCGTCCCCCAAAGCGAGATAGCCAGTAACGCAAAATCCCCAGCGTTGCGTGTGTACGCGGTACGCTGGCCCTTTTATTCTGTTCTGCGCATGCGCACTCCCGACCCGCAATTTCCTTGCGTACGCAAAGCTATAGCGTACGGTCCACTAAAACTGTCTAGTTAGGGGTATTATCGGAATCGATCCAACAATAAAACAAGTTCGCGACCCGGGGTGTGGGCGGCGTGGGGCGTGCATACCTCCTCCGTTCTTGTAGGCGAGGTACGGGAACCTCCAGACGTTTCCGATGCCCACGGACAGGCCGACGCAGGAGAGCAGGAACTCCCAGCGGTTGCCCCAGTTGCCCCTGGAAGTGACCGAGGGGGACCTCTCCCTGGCGGCCCCTCCAGGCCCCAGCTGGCCGGAGGGGGGAGCCAGCCCTGGGCCGTCGACGGCCAGCTTGGCCGGCTTGGCATCTCCGTTGGACTCAAGCGCCGTCAGCGTCAGGGAACCAGAGCTCTGCAGTGACGAACGGGTTAGAAAATTTAGGTAGATGGTCAGCTAGAACGATAGTATTAATTTTGTAATTTATTTATTTAGTAATTAATTTAGTAATTTATTGTAATTAATTAATTTTGTTTAGTATTTTAATTTAGTAGTGTAATTTAAGGGTTTAAGAAGATTCATTGGCATTACTTCAGGTGTGAATCCTTGAGTCGAAAAGATGAAGAAGAAATATAAAGTCTTAGTTGATAGTCAGCAGTGTGTATGTCTCTGCTTTTCTCTCAACTTCAGCCTGTTATTTGGTTAGAAAAAAAGGAATCAAGAACTTTGACGCTAAAGCCTGGTTCACACGCTTGCGACAGCTTGCGTCCGAGTGCCTTGAAACATCTTGGGATTTCGGGCGCAATGCCCATACATCATGCGAAAGACAGTCTGCAAACACGAGTTGCCACAATATCTGTGTTTCGAATGCCGCGTGCCAGGTTTTCCCCTTGAACTCATTGCCATGCGGTATTTGAAGCACGGATCTTGCTGAGACTCACGTTCGATTCTGTATGCAGACTGCCTTTTGTTTGATGTATGAGCAGTGTGACCCTGGATTTATAAATAGAATGGCACATCTATCGGGTGTCCGTGGAACACTTGGCATTTTCGTACACTTGCTATTTTTTCGCGCATCATCCTTTTTTTTCTTATCTTTTTTACCTGAAGAAACGTTTGACAATGTTTAAAACGACCATTTCTCACAGAATCACCTTTTTAACTAGTGAAAATAAACGTACGGTTCAAATTAGAAACTTCCTTAGCGTCATCGAAAACCACCAAATCAGGGAATTTTTGAGAGATTCGAACCGGTGGGGTAAAACGCGGGAGTGCACTAAGGAAACCACTCGTATACAACAGACGAAAGGCTGGCAATTCGGTAACGCCAGTGACAAGATTATCATTTGGGTTTTTTTGCACCGCCAGCCTTCAGTTCGACCGTTTCCTTTCAACGAAATCCACACACAAAATAAGTTCACTTCAAAATATGGTCGTCAACGAAGCAATTAAAAATACACGAGCGGAGCCTTACTCGGTCAAGGACCATAAAGACTACTTAGTCCACGCCTCCGGGCTTCTTGAAAAGGACCACTATCTTCCGGTGCCGACGCGGAGGTTCGCGTTTGGACGCGCTGGAAACACACGACAAGGTCGACCGCGGAGAATAATCGCGCGACGAGGCATGAAGTATTATAACCGTAACAGGCCTTAAAACGAGGTAAACGAGCTGCCACTCGAATGTCAGTGATTTCCCTACACACCCCCTAGGGGGAGGGGGGGGGGGGTGCACACTTCTCTTGCTTTTCTGAAGGTACCCCCTTAATTCTCAACAACTCCTCTATTCTCAAGGTCCCCCCAACCCCCCCCCCCCTCTAAAAATTGAGACCCCCCCCCCTAATTTCAATACCTGGGGAAACCCCTGACTGAAATGTTCGATATGTGTAACTTTACATTTGCTAATCGCTCTCCGTTATGAATTCAGACTAATCCTGACTGTTCGTGGTGTCAGGCACGTAGCCAGAAAAGGGGGGCGCCCCCCCCCCTCCCCCCCCCCCCCAAAAAAAAAATCTTTCGTTTTGCTGGGGACTCCTCTCCCCCTCCCCCTCATACAGCATCTATGGGAATGACATTCGTATTTTGCCATAGAACCCCCCCCCCCCCCCCCGAAACAAAATCCTGGCTACGTGCCTGCGTGGTGTACAATTAAACCTCGAGGATAGCCTTATACGCAACCTTATAGGGAGTTCTATGGGAAAATACTTGCGCAAGTCTCATCATCACTAATGTACTTGAAAAGAGTCCCTCTCAATCCAAAATGCGAATGTCATTCCCACCTCTGTGGTCCGGGCGCACGTATACTATACGGATGGCGTGTCAAATGCCAATTTCGAAAGCAACAATCGGCGCTGGCTCGATTACTGTAAATATTTATGAGCAAGGGTAATTTTATATTATTTCCCGCTACAGGATATTGACAATTTAGTAATTACCTGCCGCGTTGTTTATTCTCTGCCGGATTGTACCGACGTATAGCTCAACAATTTTTTTTATCTTTAGCAGTGTGTCGAACCGAAAAAAATACGGGTTCGGTTACGGTTCAGGTTCAGGTAAATTTATTTTGCTCCGGTTCAGTTCCGGTTCGATTAATTCGATCCGCGAACCGGTTTGCGAACCGGTTCGGGGCGCTCAACCGGTTCGCGAACCGGTTCGGAAATTATAAATGACAAATTGCAACATCAAAATAAATTACAAATAAAACATCTGAAATCAGCACATACGAAACGGGATACATCGTAGTGTGAGGCTCAGGGCTTTCTACCAGGAATGGTTTCTTTATGTGCACTCAAATGTTACCTCACCGACGTTTATGCATTCGGACTTATTCTAATTCGGTCCGACGCAGTAGCTGTAAAATCCGCGACCTCCTTACAAACCCACTTACAAGTAGAACTCGCTAACTATCCCGCCACCTCGGCGTGTAAGCAATTGAAGGAACAGTGGGGAGAAAATACAGCTTTCTTTACTTGAACTAGCCTTCGGTAACTCAAATTAGACCCTTAAAGAAGTTTTCATTAAACAAGATACGGAATATGAAAAACACTTCACCGAACGCAACGCCAGAAGGACGTAATAGGATAAATATTAAAATAGAAGAGTTCGCTGTCTCGTTGTGTTTCTCCTCATCTCAAAGTAAACTCATCCTTTTCATTTTCAATTTTTAGTCACGCGTTTGTTCTGTAGAACTTCGCAGCGCAGCACGTCTATCAATTCGCTGTCTCACAAATATGTTAGCCTCTAAGTGCCTATACGAAACCGGATGCATTATTATCAAACTCCACAGCCTTTTCTTTTCTCATTCTGATGGAAGCAAGCTTCAAGAACTCGCGCGTTCTAGAAACGTGTTATGAAATGAGCACACAGCAGCATTTAGGATTTACGAGATTGTAGAAAAATAAAATCCCGTGACGCGATTTTTTTTTTTTTTTTTTTTTTTTGCACAGCCTTTCAATTTTCTTTCTTCCGCGCAAGCCGCGACCAGCGCAATACTGGTTCCTATGTCAAGATTCATGGATGCAGCGTTTGTCAAGGTTCATGGATGCAGCGTTTATATTCCTAAGACTGAGTGGAGAAGAAAAATATGTAAGCGAGGTGTGTGTCAGACTGTCAGTTGACGGCATTTAAAAAACAAATGGCATTGATAGCACATTCATTGTCAACAGCGCGTGGCCAAACCGTTTTGACATGAGCCGGAAACCGTTATTTTTTTTCCGGTTCAGTTCCGGTTCGGGTTCATCGCGATAACAATATAACGGTTCGGGTTCGGGTTCAGTTCCGGAAAAAATACCGGTTCGGTTCCGGTTTTCGGTTCGGTACGGTTCCGGTTCGACACCCTGATCTTTAGGGTTCGGTTGAGTGCGGCTCTTTGAACTTGTCGACGCCATATTGCAGTTGAACGTGTGAAACAACATGCCATTCAAAATTGACGATAAACTATACACGTGTAACTTGCGATTCGATCGCATATGGCCTTCGGAATATAGCAGCGACGAAATGCTCGGAAATGAGATGACTTATAAAAGAGAGTCAAAACCATACCACTATGGATGTCAAACCTTGCAGTATATTATTTCTTGCTTCGACTCGCTGAAATCTTCGCTGATATGAAAGGAACCTCAGTAATAAACGTAGTGATCTACGGAGTGGCCGGCATCAGTGTGCAAAGATTTGACCAAAACGTAATAAGCACAAACAAGAATTAAGTTTCGTATCTCATAATAAAGATATAAGAGGACGTTGGGTTGAACCACGTAAGTAATCTGTGAAAAAAAAAAAAAAAAACAGTAGGTTGCACAAATTTCTTTTGTAGGCAACAAAACTCAAGGCAATTGGCCTGCTTCCACAAGTGTCTCGAAGCACGCGGCCACGACGTCGCAAGCAAAGGTCGTCTGCTACTGCCAAGTGGCGGCCTCGCAATAAAAAAGGTGTAATGTGCTCTTGACATAGACATAAATACGTTTGAAAGCAAATCACAACAATTCTTTCTCGGTAAAGGGACCTGTGTGCACGGTCAAGAGGTTCTTGGGGTCAACAAGATGGTTCGCCATCGCAGCCTCTAGAGACTGGTTTCCCTTTCCAGTCAGAGGGAGACTTATTTCACAAGTGCCTGCAACTTCAAGAGCCACAGACCACTTTCGCATTCCTGACACACATCTCGGCACGGGCGCGACGGTGTGTATGTCTCCCCCCACAAAGCCGTGGCATGTGCCGCCGAAGAACAGTCGTCTGCGATTGCAGCCGGCGCGAGCGTCAACAGCTGGTCGTTGTCGTCCACTCGCGGAACAATGCGGGCGAAACAAAGAGACACGCGACCGCCGAGAAACCTGTTTAAACGGATCGCCCTTTTTGTTTCTCCCTTTTTCTCTCCTTATTCTTGCGTGCATTGTATCTCTCGAGGCACGGCCCTTTTGACATTCCAGTGTCGTCAAAATGCACCGTTTTCTTCTTTCCTGTATCGGTTCTTTATTCGTGACCAACGGTGCTCCAGGCTCAAGCATCATTCCTAATAAACTATAACGCCTCATCGTGCCAAAAAAAAAAAAAAACACAAAAACATATTTGTTGACCGAAGAACAGGCAAAAATAAAAAGATATACGATGGTGTCACATTCGTTGTATCATGGACGTATATCCAGAGAGAAAATCGTATGCTTCTTGCTTAGGAGTTGCTGTGACGTCAGAACGACGCCGTGCTCTGATTGGCTATGATTGGGAGGATAGTGGGTAGACCTCAATATCAGATGCCTTAAGGTCTACCCACTATGTTGTTCAATCAGCCAATGAGAGCTCGGCGTTTTTACATCATCGCAACCCCTGTGCAAGAAGCAGACAAACTTGAGCTCCGCATAGGTCAGGGGAAAGTTGGTCTGCCTAGAAATGGCGCCATGGTGTCTCAGCAGTAGATGGGAAAATTA